ATGTTAAATACTGAACTATTGTCAAGTCTAGCATCTCTATGGCACTTATTACCAGATGAGAAACTGCACATTAATTAGACTCAACTCATGATTTGAGTAGCTTACCATAAAACTTTATGGCCTTATGTAACCTAAATGTGTTCTATAAATGCTAAGTAACTAAACTGCATATAAAGAAACTTTTAAGTACTCTTAATATCTGATGCTTTTTTAGTTTAGGTATCCACTATTTGTAAAATAAAATTTCAGTATTTAGGCAGTATTCTAAGGCAGGGATTTTTTTTTTTTAAGTTTATTTTTTTTTTTAGTAATCTCTGCACACCCAATATGGGGCTCAAACTCATGATCCTGAGATCAAGAATTGCACACTATTCCCGCTAAGCTGGCCAGGGGCCCCAAGGCAGGGATTCTTAACCTAAGGTCCACAGGTTAAGAATTTTTAATTGGGAGGTTTCTTTTGGGAGAGGGGTGGTCCTTGTGAGCGTACAGGTAAGCTCGTAAATTTTCACATGCAAATATATTTCTTTTTTTTTATTTTTTTTATTTTTTTAAAGATTTTATTTGTTTATTTGACAGAGAGAGATCACAAGTAGACAGAGAGGCAGGCAGAGAGGGAGAGAGAGGGAAGCAGGCCGAGAGCCCGATGCGGGACTCGATCCCAGGACCCTGAGATCATGACCTGAGCTGAAGGCAGCGGCTTAACCCACTGAGCCACCCAGGCGCCCTGCAAATATATTTCTAATGAATGGGGGTGGGATGATATCAATTCTGTCATCCGCTCCCCAAGGAGTCTGTAACCCTAAAAATGTTATATGGTTCTTGGCCAGAGTGAGCCCAAGGCTCATCGAAAATTTAAATAGATCTACTCAAGTTAGTCATTCACATGCAGTCAATACTTTTTTTAAAAAGCAGAACAGGTACACAGAAGGAAATAATTTAAAAAGTGTATGTCCTCTTTATAGCTTAATCTCTTTTTAAACTCACTGTAATCTCAGAGGATTTATTTTAGAATTTTTTGATCAAAGGTAAGACAACAGAATTCCCAGTGTTGTTTTCATGCTAACGATCAAGTAATCAATTATTAAGAATGTAAATAACGTAACAAGTAGAAATAACACAATTTTTTCCCTCAAAACCCATAAGGAACTACAAGAAGATTAGCAAACCACCATAGATCCTCTTCTGTGGTAAGGGATCCCATAACAAGAATATCCACAGAGTGCGACTGACAGCCTCACACAACACGATGCATGGATCACATAGCACTAACAATCTTGCATCACATTTTAAAAATCAAAATCTAGTCATTGTGGATTAGAAAAACATGAATACCACAAAACTCAAAAAATGATAATATTCAGATGTAGTTTACTCTAAAAATATCTCTCTCAAGTTCAGAACCTTGTTTTCTTTTTTTTTTTTTTTTAAAAGATTTTATTTATTTATTTGACAGAGAGATCACAAGTAGGCAGAGAGGCAGTCAGAGAGAGAGAGGAGGAAGCAGGCTCCCCGCGGAGCAGAGAGCCCGATGCGGGCCTCGATCCCAGGACCCTGGGACCATGACCTGAGCCGAAGGCAGAGGCTTTAACCCACTGAGCCACCCAGGCGCCCAGAACCTTGTTTTTTTTCTAACGGAAGTTCTTCAGTTTAACAAGACATATGAATCTGGAAATTAAGGATTGTATATGCCCTCATGAGGTCATATTGCTCAAACGGTCGGTCACCCAGTTCAGGCTTAAATGCTTCTACTTACAAGTAAACTACAAAATGTCACACAGCAGGAAGGAACAAAGTTTTGCCCTTCTTACTTGATTAGTGCAATACATAAAACTAAATGTGAGGTACCAATATTTGTTATCATTGTTCACAATTTTAAAATATTAAAAATTTTAGGTACAGGGGTGCTTGGCTCACTACTTGACCTAGGGATTGAGTTCAAGCCCCAAGTTACATGTAGAGCCTACTAAAAAAAAAAAAATTATTTAAAGTAGATTTTCTTCCACGTATTTCTGCTCTCATTATTGAATTACCACACAAATCATGGACTAGCAACTATTAAATTATGGCAGTCCTCATCCTGAATGTACAACAACACAACAGTTTCCTATTTCATGCCCAAATATCTTAAAAGTAAAAACCTTAATTTAAAAAAGATCATATTCAGATAAGGACATTCCACGGATAGAAACTAAGGGGGGGGGGTAGGTGGGTAAAAAAAAAAAAAGTTAGCGTTAACCTAGAATGGAGAAGTCATCTGTGCAGAGAAATCAAGAGTTGGACTTGAAAGCAGACTCAGTGAGATTCTGCTTGGCAGTCTTGTTCAAGAAAATGTCCAAATCTAGGAAATGACCTTGGCAAAAAAAGAATTTACTTTTCATAATCATGTGGGCCCAAAAGTAGATATTTCTCTACAGAAAAATCCATGTTTATGCTTAATATAATTTACCATTTCCCTACAATAGTATCATATGCCAAAAAAAAAGCAAAGTTTCAAAGACCTATTCCACCCATTAATATTTTTACTCCTTAATTCATTTATAGCCACTGAATTTCAAAGCACAATTTTCTGATTTTACATAGCCACTTACAATTAAAAGACACTTCCAAACATCTCTTCTGCATCTCTAATATTTATATGTCTTACTTCTCTCCTTCCGCTATCTATACTTTCAACCTTTTAAAAAATGGTTAAACTATGACTAATACTTTTTAATTCCTACTAGAAATGCTCAAGGCTGTTTTTTTGTGTCATACTGTTATCTTATTACAACCTTCTTGAGACAAAAAGGATTCATCTAGAACCAAAAGATACTGGAATCTGATTTTAAATGAGGTCTCAATAAATATTCTCTCTGGTATAATATTTAGGATAGGCAAACCCATTTCAACAAAACATGTTCTGATTTACATAATATTCAATTTCTATACTTCCATATATATAGTGCACCTCGAACACAGAAAATAGTCACCCAGTTTTCACGTAAAATAAACCTAAAAAATATGAAAATACTTGAGCTCAAAAAAAAAAACACCCCACAATAAAAATACAAGTCCCTAAAATGCAGTTTTGTAACACTGATGTGAATTATTTTAGAAAATGTCGTTACTAAAAAAAAAAAAAAAAACCCTGAAAAATGTTACTGGATATTAAGTGATATCTCCTTTCTTCAATTTTGTGATTAACAGGTCTTTTATTGGTAGTAAACTAGAGCAAACAATCAGAATAATACATATGCAATATTCAGTACACACAATAAAAGTTAAAGAAATTCAAAACCTGTATAAAACAAACACTGGAGAGAAATCATACAGCTTAAGAGAGACAGTGGTAAAGGTCCTCTCCATCCTCTGATTACAGCTTGTTCTCTGTACCCAATAGAACTTACCGCACTTACCAAAATAAGAAATACAGACTTTTTAGTACTGAGTGTATTTAAAAGGATGAAACACATTTTCTAAGAATCTTGCAATGACAAATCAGTGACCTTTAGCCGGTAAGCAGACTTAAGGGAGGAAAGTGGGGAAAGGAAATTAACTAATATTTTGTAACCATTTTTAATAATTTCTTATTTTCCAAACACTGCTTTCATAACAGAAGTGTTTTACACTTGCACAATATTAATTACTTTATTATACATGGAAGCCTGTGGTAGGCTGATTACACAATAAGACTGCAAACAACCAGTGGTACTTTTCTGACGTCAGAAGAGTACATAAGACTGAAACATCACCGAAAGTACATAAAAAACTCATCAGCATAAACATCAAAGTACATTAAAAAATATAATCAGGAAAAAAATACAATTGCTAAAAAGTGGTTTAGAGCAGAACTACTGTCTTATCAGTAGCTTCAAATGGCAATTAGCGTTCATAGCAAGTTCTGATGACTTTACAAGACCCCTGTACAATACTGACTAATGCACCCTTTTAAAATGTACATTAAAGGCTGCAATTACACAAAGAGGTTCTGATGTCATTACTAAATGCAGACACTCTTATCCCTCACATTAGAAAAAAACGTCACCGGTTGGAATTACAACCTTAGTAATATCTATAGCTCAGAGTACGTGGGGCTTTATTATACATGGAAATCTGTATGTGTTTTATTTTTTTAAAAAGGTACGTGGGGGTTATTTATCCCATTGTTTAGTATTTGAATGCCATAAGGCATATAAAATGCCTAATGAATTACCTAATGGAATGTAAATCATTCTAAAATTGAAACTGTCCAGATAGAAGAGGAAACAAGGCAGGCTCAGAACTCTAAGAAAGAGGGTAGGTCAAGAACAAGAACAAAAAAACAGAAGTGTGGGTGACATGTAATAACACAGACAAGAGAACAATGTTTTAAGCCATGTATAATAAATAACGCATACCCCAAATTTCAAGGAATTATGTAATTCCAACTTGGGTTCTAATACTGGTACCAACGAACCACTCAGTCATCAACACTGCCAGATATCATTAACTTCTAATGGAACTACAGCCTTGTTACAGTTGGGATAAAGAGAGGGTGCTATTTTTTTTTCTTCTTTTATTAAAGCTATCATTCCAGGCTTTGATCAAAGATCCAAGAATATTTGTTCTACCAGGCTGGAATGAACGGTTTGGAAGTTCAGAGTACATTTAAAAGCTGCAACAAAATATAGGTAGCCAACATCTCAGAATTTTGGATCAGCCTAGATGGAGACAGCAATTTGAAATGTTTTCGATCCCTTACTTAAAAATGATGAAATGTTTATAAGCCCAGATAGAGCAATTTGAAATGTTTTCGATCCCTTACTTAAATGATGAAATGTATATCATACTATCTGTAAATTGGATATTCCATTACAGTGATAACGTACAGAATTCCCATGCGTTATTACACTTTCCTGAGAGTAAAGCAATTAGAATAACCTTAATCCTAGCAACAAAGTTTTTTTTGTGTATTTTTTGTTTTTTTTTTTTTTTGTAGGGTTTTTTTGTTTTTTGGGGTTTTTTTGTTTTTTGTTTTTTTGGCTTTTTTTTTTTGTTGTTTTTTTTTTTTTGCATTTAAAACTTTTGGGCTATTCCCTGACGATCTATACATGTAAATTTGATTGCTAAACATTGTCACTTTGAATGTCAAACTATTTTTAATCTATTGATTTTGATTAAAAATCATAATACAAACAGAGCTAAAATCACGCTAACAAAATAAACTAAATATGAAAAGTTGCATTGAAAGGGCATTACATTATTCTTAATAGGATCGTGTAGAAACATTCCAATGGCAGTGTTCTCAAAATAAAACAAAATTACATTAGACCTCCAGCCTGGTCACTTTTGGGACCTTACCTGTAACTTTGGCTGGTGGGTGTCTTTACTCTTGTACTACATGGCTCACTTACATCAGACATCATATTTGTATACCCTGAGAAATCTGACACTGAAGTCCTTACTCTATGGTCCACTTCTCCATTAGAGTTAGTGATGAAGGTCATTGGCACCCTGCTGCCCGACTTAAACTGAGAACCAAACGCTTGTGCAAAGTTCTCAATCTGGTACGTTGTTCTAGGCTCTATGTCTTTCTGAGGATCTATCTGGCTAGCTAACTCCTGAGATGGAATCTGAAAGCTTGTTGAGGACTCTAAATTTTTCTGTTGTTCCTTCTGGCTAGTCAATTTCTGAGATGAGGACTGGAAGGCTGATGAAGTCTCTAAATTCTTCTGAGAATCTATCAGATCATCCAGCTCCTGGGAAGGTGTCAACTGCTGATGTGTAGCATCCAAAGCAGATAAATAAAGACCTGGTTGAGATCCAAACAACATCCCAAAAGGAGGCTTTGGCAATGAAGATGGCAACACTGAGGTAACAGATTGGCCGAAACCACACTCCAAAGGAGATGTAGTGTATATCTGTTTTTCTGGAAATAAAGTGTGGTTGTGGAGAGGTGAAGACAAACTGACAAACTGGAAACCGTGTCCAAGAGTAAAACCTGCATTAGTGGATTTTTCAAAAGCCTGTTGGAGGTATTTGGAGTATTCCTGCAACATGCTTGCCTTATCATTCGAAGGTGTTTGGGTGCCTGGGCTCAAATTTTCTTCTTGAACCAATTCTGAGTGTTCTCCTGAGGTGTGTAAATCCACTCGCGGTTCCGTTATATTAAAAGGATCCTCTTTCTGGCTTTCTGATTTGTTGGAGTATTGATCCAAAATACTTTGTAAAACCTCATCAGGAATTCCAGACTTGTCATGACAAGACTTAATTTCAGCATTAAGAGCTGAGGAGTCAATAAGGGACAATGGGGTCTCATTGTCCAAAACACTGACACCTGCAGACTGAATGACGGACTGTTGGGAGACCATGTGTCCCACGTTTATAGAAAAGGCACTGTTGCTGCTGGCAGTTGGTAAATATCTTCTTTTCTTTGAAAACTGCATGGCATCATCATAATTACTACTTATTTGACCTTGTTTGCCACTCGTACTTTGGAGAAGACTAATGGTCTCCACACTATTATTCGATACTATGCCAAGTGAGCCACTTGGTTTCCCAGACAAGGACTTCTGTCCAACTATGTCTGGTAATGGTGACACAAAATTAAGGTAGTTTTTATCTGTATTCTTTCTGCTTCCTTTTTTAAAGATCAATTTTGGCACCCTTTTCTGTAGTTCATCAATACCAGTGCCAATTATGCCTCCACTGGAAGACACAGTAGGCATTTCTACTGAGTAACTCTGCATGTTTATATTATTTGAAATTTGTGATTCATTTGTTTTACCAGTCTTATGTTCCTTATTTTCAACAGCTATGCTTTTTGACTTCGTTTTTCTCCTTGAAGAACTTGTATTTCCCTGAGACAACACAGCCAGATTACCCATACTGTTATGGGTTGATGACCCAGGTTCTGCACCAGCGGCTCCTTTAGCTATGGCTTCACCACATGTGCGCCTGTGCTTCAACAGTCTATCAGTCCTTGAAAAATACTGTTGGCAAGTGTCACATTTATATGGCTTTTCTCCACTATGTGTCCTCTTGTGTCTCTCCATATGGTACTTCTGAATAAACTTCATGCTGCACTGATCACATCCAAATGGCTTCTCTCTACTATGAATTTTCTCATGTCTCTGCAGTAGGTATTTCTGAATGAAACCCATACTACACTGGCTGCACTGGAAAGGTCTTTCTCCAGTATGAATGAGGACATGTCTCCGCAAATGATAGGAGCTTCTGAAAGCAGCACTACAGTGATCACAGATATGAGGTTTCTGACTTGGGGAGAGGATGGCACCTTCTCCATCTCCAACCAAAGAAGGTTTGGAAGATGCACTTGGCTTCCTCTTGGCTTTGATTCCCTGAGATTCTGGCTTTGGCCTCTTTGCCTTTTTGACATTAGTGTCCTGCTTTGGCTCCTCATTGCCATGGTGGTCATCAGTCCTGCTACTGCTGCTGAGCAATACGTCGCGGTGGTGCTGGGCTGGTTGCTGCTGGGCATGCTGGTGGAGAATACTGAGGTCCTGGATGACGCCGTGGCTCCCCCCATCCCCACCTCCTAGGCCTGGAGATCTCTCTTCAGCCCCAGCGAACAGCCCCCCATAGTGGTGGTGGTGATGGTGGTGGTGGGACTGCTGCTCCTCAGGATCTGCGGGTTTCTCCTGTTTGATGCTGACCAAAGACTGCAAGAATCCCCAGGAGGTCCTCTGCGAGGGGAAGGCCGCGGCTGACGCCGCCGGCTCCTTCTTGAAAGTCATGTCCGGGGCTGGCGGAGGGGGGGGCTCAGCGGCCGGGGCTGCGGAGGTAGAGGAGGATAACACGCACTGCGGGGGAGGGGCGGCCGACCCCGCCGGCCGGGTGAAGCTGGTGACCGGGGGAAGCCGGTGGTTGAACATAACCATACCCTGGGGAAAGGTGGGTTCCATCTCTGCCCTCCTGCTGCTGCTGCCGCTGCCGCCGCCGCTACTACCACCGCCGCCGGAGCCGCTACCACCGCTACTGCCGGTACCACCGCCGCCACTCAGGAACCCACTGCCGATTTTCATACCCCGGAGGAGGCCTGGCTGAGGAGAGGAGGAGGAAGAGGGAAGAGGGAGGAAAGGGGGTGGAACCGGGCCCGGGGCCGGGACCACCGCAGCGCCCAGGACCCCGCCGCGCCGCCGCCCAGACCGCAACGCGCCCAGCACTAATTCCCAGCCCGGTTGCCTCGGGCACCGGTACGCATGGTCCTGTGACTCTTCCCTAGGCCTCGCCCTCTCCCTCTCCGGCCCACCGGCAACACTTACGGGTACCGCCGCCGCCGCAGCCGCCGTCGCCTCCAGTTAATAAAAATAACGCCGTCCTCTCCACAATGGAATTAAAAGCCTCCCTTGTACTGCGCAGCCGCGGCGCGGTGTCTGCTGGGAACTCCTCAACCCAGCCAGAGGGGAGCTCTGTGGAGCCAGGGCGCCTGCGCCACAGCTTCCGCCCGGCCTGCCTGTCAATCACTGGGGCGGTTGGGCGGAGGGGAGGCCCGGAGCTCGAGGGGTGGGGATTTGGATCCCTGCAGAAAGAGGCTTCCAGGCGAGCAGGCGTGATTGGTGGGCTGCACTGACGGAGATGGACGTGGATGAGGGCTTCTGGGGGAGGACGCTGAGGAGGTGGAACCCAAGGGGCGGGAATACGCGGGACCGTAATGCTGCGTGGCTTGGGGGCTGCAGAGAAAGAGCCTGGCAGAAGAGGTGGGGGAAACTGAGGACTGAATGTGGGGGCTTTCTGTGCTTTACAGTTTGCAGTCCAGGTATGGAATCAAAATCCAAACCCAGAAGTGGATCACTTAGGGCACTTTTGGTTCTACCTAAAAGCAGTAAACTTCAGGTGCTCAACATTTATTAAAAACATTGCTTCTGTTAAACCTCTTAGTTTGGAAAAAATAATGGGCTTTTGCATTTATAGGAGGAGCCTGCTTTGAAACCGCAATAGAGGTACCGTAAAAAAAAAAAAAAAAAAAAAAAAAAAAAAAAAAGTTGTCTAATTGCCAACCTACCTGAAGGCTACTGGAAAAGGAAACCGCGTGTAATCCAGGTGCAGCGACCCTGTAAAACACGCCCACACACATACTTCATCATCATCAGAGGTTATTTAAATGCCCACATACCTTTTCAGTCTGGCTAATGAGTCTGTTTGCGATGTTATATTGTTGCCTAGCCCCTTACGTTACTTAACGAAAAACTGATTACTAGGTCCTTCTAAGATTGTACCAGGATTCACCCTGCCCTCCCCGAGCACAGAATGCTGAGAAACGCATGCGAAATTACGAATTTTTTCTTAAGGGAAAATTACAAAGTAAAATCTTGAAATCAAAGACCAACAAAAACCAAACAGGTCTTTACTCAGTGCCTAATATGCACAGAGCACTCACTTTCAAATTAAGCATGCAGAAATCTAAACCAGCAACTTGCCTAACAGACTATTTATAAATCACAGTATTTTTTCATAAAGAACTAGAACTATGACAATAATTTACTTACGTAGTATATTTTCTTAATGAAATTCCAAGTCAAATTTCTCAATAATATTCCTAGCTAAATAACTTCTCATAATTAAATGACTTCTCTGAGAAATTCCACCACTGAAACCATAAATAGTATCCATTACTCCTTACAGGACTCTCTTAGCTTGCTTAAAAACTTAAAAGATAATATTTAATCATCACTTTGAGGTAAGAAAGAATATTTTTCTAATTCATGTAATTACATATAAGCATTCTACCACTTAAAACTGTGAAACTTTAATACCGTCAAGTCTAGTTAAGTGTTAAAAGAAAGACTGAAAATTCAAAAACTTAAGGCAGTAGTAAAATATTAGTCAATGCCTATGAGAAATGAGGCTGTCCCTTTATTCAGGGTGTCAGTGTTTAATGGTAAGCTGGGATGCATATAAGCTAGTCCAAGCATGAAGGGCAGTAGGACACTCATATGAAAAGCCAACTTTGTTCTTCAGTTATCAAGATAAGAAACCTGTCATTTCTCTCATTCACTCTGTCAGCCTTGAGATACTCCAAGCAGACTTACCTCTGTGTTGTATACCCCATATATCAGGAAGATGAAGAGACCCTGTAAAATAAAATGGAGGGAAAAAGCTGTTAACGCTAATCATTTCAGCAGTAGAAATACCCGAAATAAACTTTCCTGGGAACAGACAAAAGAAGACACACTTCATCAAGGTCAATTTATTTTTCTATTTTTCAACATTAGAAGCTGTACCTTGAGCATTTATAAGGTAACATACCAGCACATCACTTATAGTGGTGGTGCTGTTCAATTCTCCACAAATAGAAAGTAAGAATACCATTCCTCGTACACAGAATATTAGTTTTAAAAATCAGTATGCCAGTATCCGGAAATGTCATCGAAGTAATCACAGAAATAGCACTCAGCATAAGTATTTCTAAGCACTGTTTTGGAATACAGCAACTAGAATATATTTATTACCATCTTCAATGGGGTAAAAAAATTTTTTTTAATTAAAACAGCTAAATGGATAAACTTAGGGTAATAAATATGAGTAGTTTTTGAGTAATATTTAAAATGCTACTTCAGGGGCGCCTGGGTGGCTCGGTGGGTTAAGCCGCTGCCTTCAGCTCAGGTCATGATCTCAGGGTCCTGGGATCGAGTCCCGCATCGGGCTCTCTGCTCAGCGGGGAGCCTGCTTCCCTCTCTCTCTCTCTGCCTGCCTCTCTGTCTACTTGTGATCTCTGTCTGTCAAATAAATAAATAAAATCTTTAAAATAAAATAAAATAAAATAAAATGCTACTTCAAGTTAAGGTAAAATTTCACATTACTACTTGTAAGATTGCACACATTTTTATTGTAACCTTTGTAAAAAAAAAAAAAGTTCAGAGATCTGCTATTTATTTGTCCTCAGTTTTAGAAAATACTTAATTGTAAAGTATAAAATGAATCTCACTCTTAAATCTAAAAGATTAAAGTTTTTAAGTAAATAAACTTAGAGATAACAGCAAGAAATTTTCCATGTGTTTTTGCTTTACAGAGGAAGTAAAAATCTATATTGTCCTCTTCTTGTTAGGTATTAGCAAACCAAATATTAGATAGAGGTCTGCACTAACTTCTGGAAATGGCTCAAAAAGTTAAGAAATTTGACATTTTCAAAAGGAAAATATTACGGGACTATCTTAATGTTTGTTTTATATCTGAGTACTTAACATCTTACAGATAATGGAAAAAATCCTATAACGAGATTGAATAAAACAGAAAAAGTTTTGCTCTTGTTTCTTTTGTAATAGACATTATTTTTTAAGAACAGTTTTATTTATTTATTTTAAAGATTTTATTTATTTGACAGAGAGAGAGAGACAGCAAGAGAGCGAACACAGCAGGGGGAGTGGGAGAGGGAGAAGCAGGCTTCCGGCTGAGCAGGGAGCCTGATATGGGGCTCGATCCCAGGACCCTAGAATCACGACCTGAGCTGAAGGCAGATGCCTAACAACTAAGCCACCCAGGTACTTCAAGAACAGTTTTAGATTTACAAAAAAATTGAGAAGAAAGTACTGAGTTTGCATGTATCCCACACCCAGTTTCCTCAATTATCATAATTTTACTTTTTATTTTTTTTTAAGATTTTATTTATTTATTTGACAGAGAGATCACAAGTAGGCAGAGAGGCAGGCAGGAGGGGGTGGAGGCAGGCTCCCTGCTGAGCAAAGAGCCCGATGTGGGGCTCGATCCCAGGACCCTGAGATCATGACCTGAGCCGAAGGCAGAGTCTTAACCCACTGAGCCACCCAGGCGCCCCATAATTTTACTTTTTAAAAAAGAGTATGTATGTATGTATGTATGTATGTATGTATGTATGTATGTATGTATTTCAGAGGGAAAGGGAGAGATAGTCTTAAGCAGACTCAATCTCCTGACCCTGAGATAAGGACCTGAGCTGAAACCAAGAGTTGGATTTTTAACTGACTGTGTGACTCAGGTGCCCTTCATCATTTTACTTTTTAAAATTTCTTTTTAAAGTAATCTTTACACCCAATATGGGGCTTAAATTCATAACAGCACGGAGATCAAGAGTTGCATGCTCTACTGACTGAGCCAGATAGGTGTCCTTGATACATTTTACATTTTATATTACATATACATTTTACAAATGTATATTCATTACAATTAATCTTAGTAGTTTTCAATACTGCTCGCTATAGGATTACAGAAACAAACTTGCATTATATGTATTTGTATTAAGAAGAAAAACTGATAGAGTTTTGAACAACCAAAAGTATCCATTGGGTCATAAACTATTAAAAATTCAAACACAGTGGGAGTTTTCTCACTGTGCATACATGATGTCCCATAGCTCAACCCCAACACTCAAGTCCATCTTTCAAGTAGCCTTTCTCAAGGTCTACATAGTGCAGAGTGAATTCAGGCTGCTTAGATGACTCATTTTATAGGCTACTTGTCTACCTATATTCTAGATAATTCAGGGTGCCTGGGTGGCTCACTGGGTTAAAGCCTCTGCCTTTGGCTTGGGTCCTGATTTCAGGGTCCTGGGATCAAGCCCCGCATCGGGCGCTCTGCGCGGCGGGAGGCCTGCTTCCTCCGCTCTCTGCCTGCCTCTCTGCCTACTTGTGATCTCTCTTTCTGTCAAATAAATAAATAAAATCTTTAAAAAAAATTTTTTTAAAAGAAAAGTGTCTTCTGATTTATGGCAAAAGTATAAGATAATCAATAGTCCTCCTTCCTTTCATATTGCTAATTTTTTATTTCATGTTGTGTTATATAGATATAAAATTAAGAGTAGGTCACTCAAATTTTACTTCTATTTATGAGATAGGAGTATTTTGCTTTGTGCAATAGAGTTTTTCACTATAATGTCTTGTATATTGAACAGTATGCACTATGATTTGTATATGTTAAGAAATTCAGCTGTTCCCATGAAGTCTATATGGTGCTTTGAAAATCAAATAGCCCTTCTACAATGTGTACCATCACTCCTATAATTTATCCATTCTGTAAATTCAATTTGCTCTAAAAGAAAACAGAATTTTTAAAAAAAATCACATTTATTCTCCATGTCTCAGTAAAGTGAGGAGGATATGGAGCACGTTCTAATATTTTTATTTATAGTACGTTCATGTTTCTTATTACACATTTTAAATTTCAATACATTTAACTCTTCAAAGGAATAGAAAATGATCAACAACAGAAGTCTCCCTTTTGAAAAAAGGATTTAGACAGAAAAACGATTTTAAATAAAGGCAGCTCCAATCTCAGAGTTTTCTGGCTCTTTCTCCTTTTTCTTCAACAGATG